CCAACTATATTAAATTTAAACCTCAACATATCAAATTTATAATTATCGTATAATTTAATCTGTGAAAAATATTTTTACTATCCATTAATGCAATTATAATTAAGCACCATGTTGCCGCAAGCAGTACAAGAAACTCATGTTTGGTTAATTAAGCTCTGCAATTATGATAACAGTATAAAAACTTTATATACCAGTACGATAATGTTTCTTGTGTAACATGAAATGTGGTAGGGATGGTTTCAACTTTTTTAATATCGCTTATGCTAATTTTTGCAAAATCCTTTTTTAGTAGAAGTAATGAATTTCGTTTATCCGTTTTTGGAAAGAGTTAAGATTTTTGCATACCATATTATGTAGCTACATATGCAGACACGCATATATCATTATGATGCAAACTAACTTACTGATTATATATTAATTTTGTCATAATGCGAAGCTACCGATTATTAATATTAATTTTCAAACAGTAACCATTACCGGTTACATAAATTTTTATTTCTTTTTTACTGTATTTTTATTTTTCTTTAGGTTCTGCAATTTTGAATTTCGATCTTTCTGTCGTTGGTGTTTGTAATGTTGTCGTTAGTTGGTACTTTTGTCTTGCTTTTGTCATTGGTGTCATCCATTTTGGTATATCATTTGTCACTGGCGTTGTTGGTCCAGTGTCTTTGTCTTTTTTTTATTTGGTTATTAGCGCTACTTTCACATTTCTTCTTTTTTAAATTCTTTATATAATAGTTTTGGATTTCAGCACTTTTTGTCATTGATGTCATATATCTTTTGCACTAGCATCGTAGTTCAGTTTTTTTTTTTGCTCTGTTTAGTCTTTGGTACTAACTTTTCTGTTTTTTCTTTAAGTTCGTTTATCCAGTTTTGGAAAGAGTTAAGATTTTTGCATACCATATGATGTAGCTACATATGCAGATACGCATATATCATTATGATGCAAACTGACTTACTGATTACATATTAATTTCGTCATAATGTGAAGCTACCGATTATTAATATTAATTTTTAAACAGTAACCATTACCGGTTACATAAATTTTTTTTTCTTTTTTACTATATTTCTTTTTTTCTTTAGATTCTGCAGTTTTGGATTTCAATCTTTGCGTCGTTGGTGTTTGTCATGTTGTCGTTAGTTGGTACTTTTGTCTTGCTTTTGTCGTTGGTATCGTCCATTTTAGTATATTATTTGTCACTGCCGTTGTTGGTCTGGTGTCTTTGTCATTTTTTTCATTTGGTTATTAGCACTACTTTCACATTTCTTCTTTTCTAAATTCTTTTTATAATAGTTTCAGATTTTAGCACTTTT